CAAAGGAACTGAACAAAAGGGCGTGGAGGAACTTCCGTAATACCAGAACACCAGACAGTAGAGAGAGATACCAGAGAACCAGAAACGAGTATGTCAGTGTGAGAAGAGAAGCAGAGAAAAAGTATGAAAATGATATAGCTGATAAAGCTAAGACTGAACCATAGCTACTCCACAGTCACATCAGGAGGAAAACAACAGTGAAGGAACAGGTGATGAGACTTAGAACGGGTGAGAACAGGTACACAGAGAATGACATAGAGGTGTGAAGAACTCAACAAGAGGTTCTAGGAGGTCTTTACAATAGAACGAGGTGAGGTCACGGCGCTAGGAGAGGTGGCAGTAAACCAGGCGGCCTTGGAGGGGTTCGAAATTACAAGAGATGAGGTCAAGAGGCATCTGTTGGATCTGGACGTGAGGAAGGCTGTTGGTCCAGACGGAATCTCAACATGGGTATTGAAAGAATGTGCAGGAGCACTTTGTATGACACTCTCCATAGTGTATAGTAGGTCACTGGAGACCTTCCAGAAATATGGAAGACGGCTAATGTAGTCCCAATATACAAAAAGGGTGACAGACAAGAGGCACTGAACTACAGGCCAGTGTCCTTAACTTGTATACCATGCAAGGTGATGGAGAAGATCGTGAGAAAAAACCTAGTAACACATCTGGAGAGAAGAGACTTCGTGACAACCCATCAACATGGGTTCAGGGAGGGTTAATCTTGCCTTACAGGCTTAATAGAATTCTACGATCAGGTGACAAAGATTAAACAAGAAAGAGAAGGATGGGCAGACTGCATTTTCTTGGGCTGTCGGAAAGCCTTTGACACAGTACCCCATAAAAGGCTGATGCATAAGCTAGAGAAACAGGTAGGAGTAACTGTTAGGCCGCTCCAGTGGATAAGGGAGTACCTAAGCAATAGGAAGCAGAGAGTTACAGTGAGGGGTGAGACCTCAGATTGGCGTGAAGTCACCAGTGGAGTCCCACTGGGCTCTGTACTCGGACCTATCCTGTTTATGATTTATGTAAATGATCTCCCAGAGGGTATAGACTCGTTCCTCTTAACGTTTGCTGACGACGCCAAAATTATGAGAAGGATTAAGACAGAGGAGGACAGCTTGAGGCTTCAAGAAGACGTGGACAAGCTGCAGGAATTGTCGAACAAATGGTTGTTAGAGGTTAACCCAAGCAAATGTAATGTAATGAAGATAGGTGAAGGGAGCAGGAGACCAGATACAAGGTATCATTTGGGAGATGAAATTCTTCAAGAGTTAAAGAGAGAGAAAGACCTGGGGGTTGATATCACGCCAGACCTGTCCCCTGAAGCCCATATCAAGAGGTTAACATCAGCGGCATATGCCTCGTTGGCCAACATAAGAACGGCCTTTAGAAACTTGTGTAAGGAATCATTCAGAACATTATATACCACATATGTCAGACCAATCTTGGAGTATGCGGCCCCAGCATGGAGTCCATATCTAGTCAAGCATAAGACTAAACTGGAAAAGGTTCAAAGGTTTGTCACCAGACTAGTACCCGAGCTGAGGGGTATGAGCTAGAAGGAGAGACTACGGGAATTAAACCTCAGGTCACTGGGAGACAGAAGAGTTAGAGGGGACATGATCACCACATACAAGATTCTCAGAGGGATTGATAGAGTAGATAAAGACAGACTTTTTAACACAAGGGGCACACGCACTAGGGGACAAAGGTGGAAATTGAGTGCCCAAATGAGCCATAGAGACGTTAGAAGGAATTTTTTCAGTGTCAGAGTAGTAGACAAATGGAATGCACTAGGAAGTGATGTGGTGGAGGCTGACTCCATACACAGTTTCAAGTGTAGATATGATAGAGCCCAATAGGCTCAGGAACCTGTACACCAGTTGATTGACGGTTGAAAGGCGGGACCAAAGAGCCAGAGCTCAACCCCTGCAAGCACAACTTGGTGAGTACCTTCCAGCTTCCACAACTGTTACCAGATCCTCCGGTCCGGGAACCCCTGTACCGACCGCAAGGGAGCCCTCACCATCTGGCCACAGCGACTTCGTAGTCCCCGAGCTTGTCCCACTGACAAGGATGGTAGCAGCCCCCAGGACAGCTGACCAGGACGACGAGGTTGACTCCGAAGACGAAACCAAGGAAGCTGACCACGATGACTCTACCGACTCCAATGCTTCAGTCGATGTCACCGGCTTTCCCGCCCATCATGCGGCCGCCCGGGCACCATCTCCCTCTCCAGATTCCCAAACCGGCACCAGCCAGACTAACAGACTCTCATGCTGCATCACCTGGGTATATACGACGTGGCCGCGCACTTTCCAAGGAGGACAGACAGGATCACTCCATAATCCACAACGACTATTGGGAATACAAGTACAGGGGAGCAGGACGGATCCTTTCCATGGTCGTCGATCAAAAATTCCTCGACCACCTCTGCGACTACGACACCTTGAAGAAGAAAATTCGACCAGACTACCAACAACGTTGAACTGGGATTACGAAACCAATCCTCTTGTACCACCCGGACATCTTCCCCTATACCGGCCGACTGTGGCCAGCCCCGCCGACATCTGGGTAAAGGGCTAACTCCTGTGGCACTCAACTGTGAGCGACGTGTGTACCCCATCAATTCACCAGTCTGACCAGTCCTGTGGTCTTGGATTGGATTGGCGGGTCCACGGACCCCATCCCACACATCTCTTGTGTCAGCTATTGATAATGGCTCCAAAGCGCCTCCACTTACGGGCTCACCATACCCAATGCTTCATGGAAATTGTGTTCCAGTAGCCAAATCTAAAACCCCAAGAAGAACAACGTTGTAAGCTCAGTATAGCTGTGTCAGTTCAACAGTGTACTCCTGAAGATGTCACATTCCTGACGAAACGTCGAACAATAACAATGGAAAGACTAAGTGATCTAGTGTTTCTTCACCATCCAGATGGTAGACGATATTTGCGTGGAGTGGAAAATATCTAAAAGAAAATTAATAATCTCACAATGCTGCTGTGTTTAATTACATGTTTATTAGAGAAATCCTGCTCCCAAAATATACTATATTATATATATGTATATATATATATATATATATATATATATATATATATATATATATATATATATATATATATATATATATATATATACATATATTATATATATATATAATATATATATATATATATATAATTACACACAAACACACACACAGAATATTGTGTCTTGCTCTGAAAAAGGCCAAGACAGCCGAAAACGCGTTCAGCATTCTTTAATTTGTAAATGTGGTTTTCCCACAGATATATTACACAAATACACACTTTCTACCTTCCACTTTATATAAACACGTCACTATAGGGGACTCGACCAGACCGCGACCAGTATCACACAGGTTTATGGAAATTTCTCAATATACATATATTTCAACAAATTTAATAACAATTTCCCCATTAATGATCACTATACTATAAAAAGCAATTAGTATATTATTGGCGTGTAAAAATCATGACGGCAACAGCGGGAGGTTCTGTGGCTGGTGATTGGCTGGGACAGTGTTGCCACTCATCCTGTTATTGTGTATATTTATTACCATTCATGTTTTGCTTCTTGTAAACTCGCAAGAAAACTGAATCATGAATTACCAAAGCTTGAATGAATGCTGAAATAGACCAAAAATTCAGAAAACATTGTTTTTGTTTATATTGTTTAAAATATTACATGTAACCCAGAGTTCCAGATGACACATGCCAATTGTGAACGTTAATAACCCGACAAGGATTACTACCGGGACGGTGAAGTTAGCATGCCACTAGGTGTCCAGCACCGCGACCACTCCACCACCAGGCTTCACACACACACACTCATGATACTCTGTCCGTTCCTACCATGTTCAAGTGATGAAATAACTGTGCCCCAAGATAAGTCAAGAGCGCTGTGTCTCACCACCTTCCAACAGGAATCTATACACCGGGTGATTGACAGTTGAGAGGCGGGACCAAGGAGCCGAGGCACAATTAGCGGAGACGTTCATGGTGTGGGTGTGGACATACTTGGGGTGCGGGTATTTTTTCTGGCTGATTTACTTGTTACATCTGTAGGCCAATTGTCGTCTGGTGTGTGGGCGATGCCATTGACCTCGCTGGGCGGAATGAACAGCATATGGCAAGTATTTTTGTTTTCGTCGTCGTCTTCGTCGTCGGTCACAAGGCCGTTCTCGTCGACGTCGGTGGCGGCTCTGGAGAGCCTCCTAGTGTTGGTTGTGGGAGCTTCGGGTCGTTTGTGCCACTAACGTGTAGTTGTTGTAGAACGCGGTAGTGGTAGTGGCGTCTTTGGATGTAGTGTCTTCGTTGGCAGGGGCAGCCAGGGTGGGTGGCGTCCCTGTCGTACCGGACTGGTTGTGGGTCGTGTTGCGGGGTCGGACGGCGGGTCGGCCGCAGGTGGAGGAGCTGGGAGAAGGTCTCCTGGTACCGTCACCGTCGGAAGTCCATTTGCGGTGAGCAGCCTGTTGATGGTGTGGACGTATAGGTTGACGTCGTTGCCTGCCAGTTTGTCAGCGAGGTGTAAAAGTACCGGAAGGAGGGTGTTGTTGGTGGCAACTTGGGTCGTGGTTGTGAGCTCGAAGGTGAGGGACCAAGCGGTGGTGAGGTAGCAGCAGCTTCCCCAGTGTTCTCGGGCATGGCCGGGAAAGCGGACGTAAGTGGGTTGGCTAGCTGAGGTGAGGCGGTGCTTCCCGCCATCTTTTCTATTTCCTCCTGCCAGTGAAGACAGTCAGGTGAAACTGCAGTGTGCGGGTCATTGCAGAGTCGGTGGGAGGATGTATAGGCTGCGTAGTGATGCTCTTGGGCGCAGAGGCTGCATCTCTGCACTTACTGGTGTAGTGGGAGTACCGGTAGCACTTGAAGCACTGGCGGAGCTCCGTGTATCGTTCCTTGGTCATGTGGGCGGGTGGAAGCGTAATTCCGGCGTAGTTAAGGCCGTGTTCTTTGGCGTGGGTCGCTGGGATGACCATGGTGAAGGTCGCTCTCAGTGTGGGTCTGCGGGTGTTGTTGGTGCTGATCTTGGCCACTACCGCGGTCAGCGTCGGGTTCAGGGAACACCCTCATATACTTGTATTAAAACTTTGTATACGGTATTAAAATAATTGTCACATACTGCATTAAAGCAGCGCCGTATACTGTATTAAACCATCGTGGTATGCTGTTTTATAACGGCGTGGTATACTGTATTAGAACAGCCTCGTATACTGTACTAAAACAACGTGGTATACTGCATTAGAACAGCCTCGTATACTGTACTAAAACAACGTGGTATACTGTATTAGAACAGCCTCGTATACTGTACTAAAACAACGTGGTATACTGTATTAGAACAGCCTCGTATACTGTACTAAAACAACGTGGTATACTGTATTAGAACAGCCTCGTATACTGTACTAAAACAACGTGGTATACTGTATTAGAACAGCCTCGTATACTGTACTAAAACAACGTGGTATACTGTATTAGAACAGCCTCGTATACTGTACTAAAACAACGTGGTATACTGTATTAGAACAGCCTCGTATACTGTACTGAAACAACATGGTATACTGTGTTAAAACTGCATTAAAAGAAGCGAACGTTCGATCAGGTGTCTGAGTTCTGTTGGCGATTATTCTCATATGAAGCAGGTGGATGAAGCATTTACAACATTGTCAGTCGAGCACAGGCGGTCAGCGGAGACACACTGCTCCAGACATGCCCGAACATCAGTTGAGAGTCGTGTGTAAACCGTTTTTCATCTATAAACAGGGGATTGAACGGGTAGTTTAACGAGCATTTGGCCTCTGTTGATAAGAACCAGATTCACGAAAGCACTTACGCAAGCACTTACGAACGTGTACATCTTTCCTCAATCTTTGACGGCTTTGGTTACATTTAATAACAGTTTATAAGCACGAAAACTTCCCATTCAACTGTTGTTATTGTTATAAACAGCCTCCTGGTGCTTCGGAGCTCTTTAACTGTTTAATAATTGGAAACAAAGCCGCCAAAGATTGAGAAAAGATGTACAAGTTCGTAAGTGCTTGCGTAAGTGCTTTCGTGAATGTAGCCCCAGGGTGAGAGAGGAGCGCGGCCTTGCACCTCTCACACACCTGTCTTGCCTACACTCCTCACCTCTAGCTCTCATTCTTTACTTTTTGTGTTATTTGGGTTTCTCTCAACAGCAATAAAAGTTTACTTTTTGCTAATGATGCAAGTTGATGTATTACTTCTGGAGACTGTGTGTGTGTGTGTGTGTGTGTGTGTGTGTGTGTGTGTGTGTGTGTGTGTGTGTGTGTGTGTGTGTGTACTCACCTAGTTGTGCTTGCGGGGGTTGAGCTCTGGCTCTTTGGTCCCGCCTCTCAACCGTCAATCAACTGGTGTACAGATTCCTGAGCCTATTGGGCTCTATCATATCTACACTTGAAACTGTGTATGGAGTCACCCTCCACCACATCACCCCCCTAATGCATTCCATTAGGAAGTAATGCATGTGTGTGTGTGTGTGTGTGTGTGTGTGTGTGTGTGTGTGTGTGTGTGTGTGTGTGTGTGTGTAACTACCACCACATTTCACTATGATAATTAATAATGACCATCCATGACAAAATATACTATTTATCCGTGACACAAAAAAGAACAAATCACCTTTTCACTGACTGAATTTTCAACGTAAAACAGAATTAGGTAATCTACACAACTGCTTCAACCCCACAGTGAATTAAGCACTGCTGCACACTGAACATTTGTGAGCAGTCTTGTCAACACCTTTGTTTTAATGCATCATGCGTATTCAAGAGGCACTCAAATGTAATTTTTTCTTTTTCGTAAAACAAATTTGCGCTTGATTTACAAATTGGCAAGTTGGGCGCCGCACCGCGGTTGCCAGAGGTCGCTACACGTACGATCATTTGAGTAACAAGAAGCTCGTCGCGAGGTTGTCAGACGTACGATAATTTCCACAACCCACGAGACGTGCACTTTGTTGAACTTTGTCCATCGTTTGTTGAACAATATTTCCTCTTTATTGCTTTCCCAGGTTGCTTTAATTTCTTTTTCTCTGTTTATCTTGCTCAAACACGAGCAAAATGTTTGGAAAAACGACACAAGACGATATTTCATCATCCTTTTTTTTTCGCGAATATTGGATTTGTATTTTTATTAATTATCATTATTTTATTACACAACCTAAATGGCTATGGTATTAATTAAAGGGTTTATACTGGCTGAGTACATCCCCTGAGTCACTGTTCACTCTCCACGCTGGCTGAGTACATCCCCTGAGTCACTGTTCACTCTCCACGCTGGCTGAGTACATCCCCTGAGTCACTGTTCACTCTCCACACTGGCTGAGTACATCCCCTGAGTCACTGTTCACTCTCCACACTGGCTGAGTACATCCCCTGAGTCACTGTTCACTCTCCACGCTGGCTGAGTACATCCCCTGAGTCACTGTTCACTCTCCACGCTGGCTGAGTACATCCCCTGAGTCACTGTTCACTCTCCACACTGGCTGAGTACATCCCCTGAGTCACTGTTCACTCTCCACGCTGGCTGAGTACATCCCCTGAGTCACTGTTCACTCTCCACGCTGGCTGAGTACATCCCCTGAGTCACTGTTCACTCTCCACACTGGCTGAGTACATCCCCTGAGTCACTGTTCACTCTCCACACTGGCTGAGTACATCCCCTGAGTCACTGTTCACTCTCCACGCTGGCTGAGTACATCTCCTGAGTCACTGTTCACTCTCCACACTGGCTGAGTACATCCCCTGAGTCACTGTTCACTCTCCACACTGGCTGAGTACATCCCCTGAGTCACTGTTCACTCTCCACGCTGGCTGAGTACATCTCCTGAGTCACTGTTCACTCTCCACACTGGCTGAGTACATCCCCTGAGTCACTGTTCACTCTCCACACTGGCTGAGTACATCCCCTGAGTCACTGTTCACTCTCCACGCTGGCTGAGTACATCCCCTGAGTCACTGTTCACTCTCCACGCTGGCTGAGTACATCCCCTGAGTCACTGTTCACTCTCCACGCTGGCTGAGTACATCCCCTGAGTCACTGTTCACTCTCCACGCTGGCTGAGTACATCCCCTGAGTCACTGTTCACTCTCCACACTGGCTGAGTACATCCCCTGAGTCACTGTTCACTCTCCACACTGGCTGAGTACATCCCCTGAGTCACTGTTCACTCTCCACGCTGGCTGAGTACATCTCCTGAGTCACTGTTCACTCTCCACACTGGCTGAGTACATCCCCTGAGTCACTGTTCACTCTCCACACTGGCTGAGTACATCCCCTGAGTCACTGTTCACTCTCCACGCTGGCTGAGTACATCTCCTGAGTCACTGTTCACTCTCCACACTGGCTGAGTACATCCCCTGAGTCACTGTTCACTCTCCACACTGGCTGAGTACATCCCCTGAGTCACTGTTCACTCTCCACGCTGGCTGAGTACATCCCCTGAGTCACTGTTCACTCTCCACACTGGCTGAGTACATCCCCTGAGTCACTGTTCACTCTCCACGCTGGCTGAGTACATCTCCTGAGTCACTGTTCACTCTCCACACTGGCTGAGTACATCCCCTGAGTCACTGTTCACTCTCCACACTGGCTGAGTACATCCCCTGAGTCACTGTTCACTCTCCACGCTGGCTGAGTACATCCCCTGAGTCACTGTTCACTCTCCACACTGGCTGAGTACATCCCCTGAGTCACTGTTCACTCTCCACACTGGCTGAGTACATCCCCTGAGTCACTGTTCACTCTCCACGCTGGCTGAGTACATCTCCTGAGTCACTGTTCACTCTCCACACTGGCTGAGTACATCTCCTGAGTCACTGTTCACTCTCCACGCTGGCTGAGTACATCCCCTGAGTCACTGTTCACTCTCCACGCTGGCTGAGTACTTCCCCTGAGTCACTGTTCACTCTCCACGCTGGCTGAGTACTTCCCCTGAGTCACTGTTCACTCTCCACGCTGGCTGAGTACATCCCCTGAGTCACTGTTCACTCTCCACACTGGCTGAGTACTTCCCCTGAGTCACTGTTCACTCTCCACGCTGGCTGAGTACATCTCCTGAGTCACTGTTCACTCTCCACACTGGCTGAGTACTTCCCCTGAGTCACTGTTCACTCTCCACGCTGGCTGAGTACTTCCCCTGAGTCACTGTTCACTCTCCACGCTGGCTGAGTACTTCCCCTGAGTCACTGTTCACTCTCCACGCTGGCTGAGTACATCCCCTGAGTCACTGTTCACTCTCCACACTGGCTGAGTACTTCCCCTGAGTCACTGTTCACTCTCCACGCTGGCTGAGTACATCTCCTGAGTCACTGTTCACTCTCCACGCTGGCTGAGTACTTCCCCTGAGTCACTGTTCACTCTCCACGCTGGCTGAGTACTTCCTGGAGTCATTGTTCACTCTCCACGCTGGCTGAGTACTTCCTGGAGTCACTGTTCACTCTCCACACTGGCTGAGTACTTCCTGGAGTCACTGTTCACTCTCCACACTGGCTGAGTACTTCCCCTGAGTCACTGTTCACTCTCCACGCTGGCTGAGTACATCTCCTGAGTCACTGTTCACTCTCCACGCTGGCTGAGTACTTCCCCTGAGTCACTGTTCACTCTCCACGCTGGCTGAGTACTTCCTGGAGTCATTGTTCACTCTCCACGCTGGCTGAGTACTTCCTGGAGTCACTGTTCACTCTCCACACTGGCTGAGTACTTCCTGGAGTCACTGTTCACTCTCCACACTGGCTGAGTACTTCCCCTGAGTCACTGTTCACTCTCCACGCTGGCTGAGTACATCTCCTGAGTCACTGTTCACTCTCCACGCTGGATGAGTACTTCCCCTGAGTCACTGTTCACTCTCCACGCTGGCTGAGTACTTCCTGGAGTCATTGTTCACTCTCCACGCTGGCTGAGTACTTCCTGGAGTCACTGTTCACTCTCCACACTGGCTGAGTACTTCCTGGAGTCACTGTTCACTCTCCACACTGGCTGAGTACTTCCTGGAGTCACTGTTCACTCTCCACACTGGCTGAGTACTTCCTGGAGTCACTGTTCACTCTCCACACTGGCTGAGTACTTCCCGGAGTCACTGTTC